AGGGAGGTGGCGGCATGGCCTTCATTCCTGCTGGTTTCGGGATGATGCCAGACAGCTCGATGAATCCAGGCATGCAAGGTAGGGATTTCCAAGGCCAAGCTGACCGTGGCGACGGAAGGGGCGTCCAAGAACAGTTACCTATGGTGATGCAAATGCAGATGTCGCTCCCCCCACCTCCCCCTACACAACCCCCGTCCGCTGGACAGCAGTCTTTCAACAGAAGTTGATGAGTTTTTTGCGTGCCAATTTTATGGCTGCTGCCAAAATCGTGCTGTACTGCGTTGGGAAATTGCAATTTTGCCACCTTGGCATGTAACTGATGAGCACTCGATGGCAGCCTACGTTGTGCTAAAAACGATGCAATTTAATCTGAGTTGTCATATGCTGTTTGTGAATTGTTTTTTTAGAATTTTTTGTGAATTTGTTTGGTGTTACAAAATGCATGCAGCCCACTGTTGGGCTGCCCAGTTTTTTATGTCTGATGCTTGGCATTTCTATTTGCCATCCTTTTGGTTTTTATTATATTTTAGTGTGTTTTTGTTATGAACCAGAACTACTAACACCCACAAATAAGTGTCTCTAATTTAGTTGTACTACACTTATTTTTGGGATGGAGTGAGTACAAGTGAATGAAAACTGAATACGAAAAAGTGAATGAAAACTGAATACAAGCGCAATTTCTTGTTAAAATGTCATTTAGTAGAGAAAGGAGTTCCCTAAAAGTAAAAGTAGTGAAGAGAGTATTGCCGATGTTCGATCTGCACAAGGCTATGTTCGTCGAGTAAGAATTTATGAATGCAAAGGTGCAAAACAGAAAAGAACAGTGGCTGAAACGCAAAATCTCAAAAAGGTTTCTGTAATGAGTATATCCCTCTGAGGTTCTACCTGCGTAAAGATATGCCCATTAAGAAAGGGAAAAATTATGAACGTAAAGGAGCCAAACAGTACAGGGGTGAAAGTGTAAAATCTTAAAAACATGAAGGGGCCACAAACACAACGGTACAGAAGTGAAAGCGCTAAATCTCGAAAGTCCAAACACGGTAGCACAGGGGCATAAGTGTGAAGTCTCGAAAAACATAAAGGGGCGAAGCAGAAAAGTACAGGGGTCAAAGCGCAAAATCTCGAAAAAATTTGGACCATTTCTCGATTTGTGCGTGTCATCCTTGCGCAGGGGCCATGCTAATCTTCTCTGTATCGTTCCAATTTTATCGGATGCCCCCGAAGGGACGAGACAGATCGCACGCCTCGACTTATAAACTGGTCTGCGTGAAGCTCGACAAGCGATGTGGGACTAAACGCTGGCACCGCTTCCCTCCCGCAGACCTCCCATGGGCTGTCCGATTAAATACCAACGGACCAGATCCAAGGCCGCGCTGACGTCCTGTCCAGCACGATTTTGCTGGGGATCTTCTGCGGCTGCTGACACCGCGTGCCCTTGTGGGTTTTCTCTAGCCGTCTCACTGTGACTTGGAGACCGGACTGCCGTGAAAAAGGTGCAAGTACGTTTGCCGCAAAAAAAGGGTACAAGTACGTTCTCATGAAACTCGTATTCTACGTATACTTATTTCTGTATAAAGTGTTCATCTGACCGTGCTCATACCAGCAGTTTTTATACGCTTTCTATCACGTAACACCCACATACGATGTGTACAACAGCAGTTACCTCTGCAAGACAACAGTAAAATTCACCAAGTTTCTCAACAACAACAACAACAAAAGGAACTTGAAGGACATGCTGTAATCCGTGTGTAAACTTGTTGCATGTATACACATGATTTGAAGATTACCACGCAGCAGGCGCGGTGATTAGCCATCCTAAAATCTTTGATATATCATTATCAGATATAAAGACAAGGTAAGATCTTCTTCATACTTTTTTTCACTGTATGCACTGTCAACATAGATGCAGAGCTGAAGGTGTCATATACAGTTGTTCATTGGTCCACAGAGTCGGAGAGGCAAGTAGCGAAAAAATATATATCAAGCTTTGGTTTCCTATATGCTACCACTCTGCTGCAGCAGCTGCTCTTCAGCCAGTTAACCTCAAACTGGATGTTGCGTATCTCTATCGGAAAATGACATGCATTTTGCCCTACTTGTATCTACTTCCCGTATGTTTCTTCTGTCGTCGTAGCTGTTAATCCTATGCCACTACGTATTTCATGTACAAAAGGAAAAGGGTGAAATTTCTGCATTTCTGCTTGGCGTCTTGAAGATATCCTGAAGGAGGAGGCTCAGCTCCCGTGCTGATCTCCCAACATTGCCTTCTCGCCTACAAGATGATGTGTCATTTCGGTCCTTTATACATTACTAATAAGATCTCCAGATTTTCGGTAACGCCTAGTTTTTGAATTGAAAGAGAGGGGCTTACCTTGTCAGGGAGATGAGACTTGCATTTATCTCTTCCAGCTCTTGAAAGCATGAACTGCAGCATTCCAACCTAGCAACATGGCACAAATGGAACAAACACATGATATTATACATGTAAAGCAGGATCACCCTAGATGAGATGGAGGGATGGGCAAAATACCGGTGCTCTGCTTCGAGGTCTACACCAACTGGTGGAGCAGACGACAAAGTTGAAAATATTGATGCACTGAAGCTTTTGACAAGCTTAAGGATCGTCGCCAAGGCAACGTTCAAATGTCTGCGGGCGTACATGACAACAAACACTTGTATTAGCCCAAATATTACCATCACATTATCTGTGACTTTTCAATTTTCATACTACTAAAACTGTATGAACTATGAAGATTTTTTTTAATAACAGTCGAAGGGCAGTAAAAGACCGCAGTACGGAACACGGCAATGGCTATCAGTAAACCTTATCCAGTGTACAATAGGAAGGTAAAAGGCAAATTATAATACCCTGAATGAATAAATAAGATGAAATACCTGTCATATCCGCTTTCAAGAAGATTGGAGGCGAGAGGTAAAACAGAAGTGCAAATGTCTAGTGTAATATACTTGGTACTCTTTTCCATAATAAGAACATTAATTATATCAGCAGTAACCTACAAGACAGATAGAGCAAGACATCAGCCATTGTATAGAATGAGACTACAGTATTAGGGGTATGGTAGGAAGTACACACAGCATGATCCGACATTCTTCGCATAGCACTAACAGAGCCCTTGATATCATTATTTTGCCAACAGCGGTACACAAGCTGCAAATATCACATGGAAATTACCATTACTCAATATATGCACCATAATCATGTCTCCCGAATAATAGCAGTAAATGTTATTGCTGATTCTATTTTCCTTCAATACCTCTAGCTTTGTCAGCCGCGACTTCACGCCATGAATGAATTCTTGATGGTTTTGCATTAGGTCAGCTATAAGATCGTCATCATTAGCCGATGCAATGCGTTCTCCAGCAAATGAAGATTGTCTCTACAGAAGTAGAAAATATAGAGTTGGGTTTGTAGGCATCCCAAATAACATAACTTAAAGTTTCGGAAGTAATGTATACCAAGCCATCTGACGTTGGTGCGTACTCGCTTCTCTCGTAACTCGCACATAAATGTCCCGTTCCTCCTGACAAAGAGCATGATGATAACCCTAGGAGGATCAAATATTCAAATCAAATAATATCATACCAATTCAGCGGAGCACTTACGATTTTGCATTATGCTGCTCTCACTTGATTCCACCAGTTGGCTCGATCCAAACACTACTGTTCTGTTAACATTCACAAATTGTGGATTCCTTCCAACTGCTGATTTTGTTTCTTCGAAACCACAAACATCATACCAGTCATCAACTTTGTTAGACTGAACACTTTCAATGCACAATGGCCCAAAACAGTTAATGTCCCCATCACTTGATGTTTCTCTTATAAATTTCCTTTGTGGAGTTTTTGAAGTAATTGGCTTTGACTGAAATACGCAACAACGAACATCTTTGTCATGATCCACAGCCAGATGTCCTTTTAGTAATTGTTCAGGCTTTATGGCAGCAGCGGCAGCTTCACTGAGATTGGAACCAGCATCCACTTTAGAAACATGCCTTGGGACAACACCAGGCATGAAAGTGGATCCTTCACTACTACATGCAAATATATTGGACCTAGGTATATATGTGGGAGCAGCAGAAGCCTGTGAGTTACCAGCGATCATTCTGGCACTTGTTGAGAGATCCACTTTGAAGCGAACATTAGCTGTGTCTCTTCTGGTGGTCAGTAGAATTTGGCTTCAATCTAACTCTAGGAGAAAGAAGAGATGCAGATTCAGCTCTAGTCAGCCGAAGATTATTTATTCCAGGTGCTTTTGATAATCTCTTCCTCACTGCAGAAGAAGCTGGTACAGAAGCTTCTTTCGACGCAGACATCGGGCGCTTAAGCAATGTACTGGATGTTTCATTGGCTTCTGTTAAAAACACAAAATACAGGTAGTGTTGGGGTGAAAATCTTAACTAAAAGAGAACAGGCGAAGATTAGGAATTGAAATGTTATTCACTTATTCATGAGATAATAATAACTCCTTAGGGATACCTGGTCTTCTGGAAATCGATAAACTTCCCAGCATTGATGATATGCTATTATCAGCTTGTAGTGGCCCATTACCAGTTCCATTCCAAAATGCTTCCGCACTATCGACAGTGTATGGATCAAATTTCTGAAGTTTAGGATTAATACCATATCAGAACTGCTCATATGCTAACATAATAAATTTTATAGAATCATACCATCAAGTCCACAACCCATATTCCCACACAACTTTGGTTATATGAGCAACCAAGAAGTTTTCCCTCTTGTACATTTAGATCTGCTAATGTTGACCAGCCAACATCAACTGCATCATGGCATATGATAGGTTCCCATGAAAGAACCTGCAAGCAAAAGGATAACATGCAAATGATTTTGTTATGACATCATTTGTTCCAAGCTTGAAATGAGGAATTTGACATTTTATTAGAGTATCGACCTTCAAGCTTTCATGTAATCCACAAAAAAGTGCTTTGTCATCACTGTTGAATGTCATAGAACGAACTACACTAGCCTGAAAATTCGGAAGCTTGCGATAAGTATTGACTACAACACTTACAGATAGTTAATTTGGTCATTATCAAGAATCACCATCCACCCATAGGGAAACTATATACAATATGAATAACAGAGTAGCTGTGGTCAGAATCTGTACCGGCATATAGTATTCCCGACAATTCTGCATGAAGCTCAAAAATTAGTTAAATCCAGGATGAAAACAAGATAAATGGATACTAAAATTACTTATAGCTCAAGTACAGAAGATTAAACAAAAGAGTGGGTATGCACCATCAAGCTTACCAACTGAAAGTTATAAAAGAGTTCAAATATGCATACACAAGAAACTTGCTCTGAAAACAAACCATGAAACTTGAAATTAACAAATGATTATAAACAACTAAAGGCTCATGTTACGTGGCTCACAATTTCAGGTACAGTACAACATTTGGTCCGACATACTAATTTATGAATCATGGTCAGCATTGCTTGGTACTATTTCATGACTCTGGGTACAAATACATGAAATCAATGCTTAATGCTGTTCTGACGTGTTCCCTTGGGTCCTTGTAACGGGTCAGATTTAGGCATAATTACAAAGGACAAACACAATTCATAGTGATTGAACTTAGTTTGAAATTAAATTACATCAAAGCCAAGAGTATGAGCAAATGCAGCTTCAGAAAAGTTGCAAATTTTTATTAGGACATAATTTTGCTGGATGGCTGCATAATGATAGTGTTTATAGAACTACATTATTTCACAATACACAAAGATAGCATGAACTGGGAGACACAAATGTAGAGCCTGAGCTTTCTGAATCATCAATGAGGAGATATTATACCTCCGGTCCAGAAGATCCAATCAACTCAAAAGTCTCAAGGTCCCAAAATTTAACAGTTTTATCAGCTGAACCTGCAGAAGTTTTTGGAAAGAACAGAAAGCAAAAGTTACAACTAACCAAGTCTAGATGATGTATCATTAATTTTGGAGGAATATGTTATCTGGGAACATATCTTATATTCTTGTACAGGTTTTACAGTAATATGGTCATCCATCTAACCTGTGGCCAGTAAGAACTCGTGGGGGTGAAAATCTAAACAGTTAATTGGGCCTTCATGAAGCCTAAAGTCATGCAAGAGCTTTCCAGCTGTCAAATCCCAGATCTAGCAAGATACTTCCCAAAAATAATCAGTGACTGAAGAAATATAAGATATTTTTTCGCTAGAGCATGTGTTTATTCATCTTGTTAATATTAGTTCTGTTATGAGCATATATGACAACTTTATAGGTTGGACCAATCAGCAGATTCCCCTGCAATTTTTTCTGTGGTACAGCTTAATAGGTTAGTTTTTTTCATATTTACTAGACATGTTCAAACTCTTACCTTCACAGAACTATCAGCCCCACCAGAAACGATCCACCGACCATCAGGAGTGAATCTAAGCACATCAATCCTCCCGGTATGACCCTGATATGTGTGAATGCATCTCTTCTTCCGCATGTCCCATATTTTCATGTTTGTATCTGAAGACCCAGACGCAAAAAATTCTCCAAAAGGGTGGGAATCAAGAGAGGCGCAATTTGATCTATGCCCAGTGAAAGTTCGAACAACTGTGGCAATAAAATCAGATATAGTTACAAGATATAATTACAGTTGATCTTTTTGCTTCAAATACAGCCAAGCGTTATGAAGACTGGTTCACACCTTTTGCTTCCTCGATATCCCATATTTTTATTGTTCCGGTTGCTGCTCCGGCACCTATCATAACCTCAGAGGAATCAAAGCTCAGTGACTCAACTGGACTTGTGTGGCCTGAGAGGCTCTGCAAAAGCGTAGTGACACTCACTTGTAATTGTAAGTGCATAAGCAACCACCTAAATGACTACCAACCAAAAATTCAATGACATAGAAAGTGATAAAACTCCTCATATAACATTACCAAGACAGCGCTAGGTTTCCCTACAGCCCAAAGATTGACCTTCTGATCCTCCCCACCAGTGATGAAAGTTCTTGATGTTCGCTTCCCAAACTTGGCACAAGTGACATCCGAAGCATGAGCAACAAACTCCTCTGGGCATTGTCAAGGAAACATGAAACTGTTGTAGCCTGATATAAATCCATGAAGTCAGGCTAAATGTTTATGTCAGAGTTCACGCTCTGGTATTGTTTTGGAATACACATTTCCACTAGGTACATAGTCAACTAAAGCCCAGAGCAAAATAGTTGTGCGGTCATGCCATCAATTAGAAATTTAGAATTATTCTGCACTTTATTATCAACATCGAACAGGTAATAACACCATATTGTGAGTGGAACTAGGTTCATTTCAGTAATTCTACAATCAGTGCTATCCTAAATGAGTCTAACAAAACGAAATCTGAAGATTCAGTATTGAGCTTCACAACTTCGACAAAGTAGGTGTCAGGAGTTCAGACCCAACAACATGATCATATTTGCTGCAATATCTGAAGTGACAAAAGCAATGGTAAATTACATAACACAAGGGGCAAATTTCCTAACAAGGATTGAATTTCTTTCGGTATTACACTTACCAACAAACTTTCTTTTAAGGAGCCTCACAAACAAACTGTTGAGCACACATTCTCTCGAATTAAAATTGAACACGAAAAATGTAATTTCATGTTCAGCAGAAAACCGTATTGTTTCATGTAAATTTTTCTTTGGTCATATTAGTCCTCAATTTCAAGAGGACATTTCACTAAACTTACACGCCCATTCACACAGTTGCAAAATCACACCCAAAAAAATTGTCCGTTGCTCCGTGTTACATTAGTTCGTTGGAACCAACTCAGCTCAATCACAAACTAAGAAGGCCAACATGAACCCAAGAACAGCTCAAGATGCAAAAGGTAGGTTCCTGGAATCAATTGTAATCGCTGCACGCGAGCCCAACCCAACCAAAACCTAACTGCACCGATCCAAGCAATTCGGCTCAAAACACCCCGATTCGAGATTCCCAGACCGATAATAGATCATTCACGGAGCAAGAAGTAGGATACGGAGCTTGTACGCGCGCTTGGTGGCCATCCGTGACGGCAGCAGTCATCAAAAGCTTGAATTATTTTTTTACTCGCTGCGGCGGCCCGGCGGCGGCGGCCCGGCGGCGGCGGCGGCGGCGGCGACGGCGGAGAGAAGATTTCAAACTGCGTGTCAGAATCGATCCCTTATTATATGCCGTTTCTCGACTGGTGCTACAAATCTGCCCGATTTTGTAGAAACAAACTAGTAAGAGGGAGAGAGAGGGGCGAGGGGAAAAGCAACTCCAAAGAGCACAGCAGAGTATTTCTTGGTTATTGTAAAAAAAATGGTATTTCTTGTTTTTCAGAGAGTTTTTCTTGTTCTTTTTACCGGTCAATGTCCAAGCCGTGATGATAAAAAATAAGCTATGACGTTTCCATTTTCAAATTATGTCAATTTTTTCCCTCAAAAAAGATTATGTCAATTTTATTTTTCATAAATTGAAGAACCTTATTGTTATTGATTAATTATAATGAACAAATGCTCTTAGAAGGTTCAAAATGGACGAAGGTGTTGCCAAATACCGTCGCGTTCATGTGTTTTCTCCGGCTGGATATGCAAATTTATAAAGGCACTCTATTACTACCTTCATTCCAAAATACAAGACGTTTTGGTAGGCTAGTTTAATTAGCCTACCAAAATGTCTTATATTTTAGAATGGAGGTATATGTCATCTTTGTCCAGAAAGCTTTCACCTAGTAGTGCCATTAAACCTTAATGTGGGACCAAGAACAATAGTAGAGTTTGAATTTACAGAATAAAAGTTGTCAACTTTTAAACAAATTATAACATAGTCGAGAGATAGCATCATAAGCATGCAAATCCAACAAACTTGTAAGAAAGGAATTTGCTAAAAAGAATTACCTGTTAGCTGCAACCACAAGGAATTTGTTCCATATGTTTGCATCGTTATGGTAATTTCATGTTTTTGTTGCAGATTTTTAGATACAAAGTCTTACTTTACTCGCCTTTTCTCCTTAATCCCTACACACGAAGTTAATGGACAATCACCCGTGATAGAGATATTCTCTTCATAGATCATCTCTTGTCTTCGTAAACTTCTTGGCTACTCAGAGACTCCCAATCAGCTATATAGTAGAAGCTCACCCTTCAAGACTAACAAATTCTTGATGTCTTCATTTGGAGATGAACTCTTGCCAAGACTCCTTAAAAGTTTATCACGAAAGTTCATGGATCTCTCTCAAATATTTTCTCTCGGCGGATGGAGTAAAGTAGAGAGAGCTCTCAAGTAGCCAAGCGCATACAAGGGGGCTCAAAAAGGTTCCTTTTCATGTTGTGTGCACAACTTATATAGGTAGCCTACCAAAACTCGAAAAGTCAATTTGGCTCCCGGGGCCAAAAAAAATTGAAATGAAAAAAATCAAGACAAAATTTGTTTGTGTACTTAGTCACATCCAAATGCCACCTGCAAATTTTGAGGCAAAAAGGTAAAACATTTTGGCTTGTGCAAAAAAAAAACAAATTGAACACCAAAAGTTACCTCAAATTTGTATTTTTTTTGCTGACAAAACACCGCTGCTCCGCTTCGCATGAAATTTTCATGCATGGTTGCAACACTAACACAAACATCTATAAAAAATTCAGAATTTTTTGAATACATTTAATATATATTTTTGTGTTACTGTTCACCCGGAGCACCAAAACTAGCTTTTACTCACAAAAACTTTAGACACGTAAGTATCAAGCAAACACGGTTCATCAGTATTGGATGTATTCAAATTTTGAATATGGCTAGCAAAAACACATAGCTTAGAGGCTTGGCTCACAATACTCAGAGTAAAGAATCCAAGACATCAACTAGAGGGCGAATAGACGATTACAAATTTCAAAATTTC